TTTGTGAAGCTATTTATACTTCCAGCCAAGACCGCATCTCGGGGTAATGAGTTCCATCGGAGTCCTCCCCTGCTGGGTGAAGCACGCTGCCTTTCGTTTGTCCTAAACTTACCTCACTTGTGCTCCAAGGGGGCCCTGTAACTCCAGCATGCCAGGTTTTGGTGAACAAGCCTGAGCTTCCCCTTCCCATCTGCAGGTTTAAAAATTCCATCCCATCTCCCTCCACCTTCAGCCCTGCAGTCTGAAGGGACCTGGTCTCTGACCTGTGCCTGGAGCCTAGCAGTGCAGGCACAGCCATTACCTCATGCCAGCCTCCAGTTAGCTGGTGCGGCAGAGGGCACACCGGGGGCCCAGAATCAAGGGGCGGCACGCAGCCCTGCCTACACCCACGCCTCTTCTTGGGGCTGACTTTTACCCCAACCCTAATTCTCTGAGTATTTTCCAGTTCCTGGCCTCCAGAACTTTCCTCTGTAATGTTTCTGTGGGGGGATTTCCCTCTCACTTCCTAGAATGGATTCACCCTGGCTTCGTCCGTGCTGGTGATGTATTTTGTCCCTGGTCCTGACCCCAGAATACCATGAGGGGGTCACTCCAGAGATGGGGGTGCTAGGACACAGCAATCCCAGTAACAGCAACACTGACCGTGTGAACTAAGGGCTTTATTTTTTTTAATAATTTTTTTTTTTTTTTTGGCTGTGTTGGGTCTTCGTTGCTGCACGTAGGCTTTCTCTAGTTGCGGCGAGCAGGGGCTACTCCTGGTTGCGATGTGCGGGCTTCTCCTTGGGGTGGCTTCTCTGGTTGCGGAGCACGGGCTCTAGGCGTGCGGGCTCTAGAGTGCAGCCTCAGTAGCTGTGGCGCACGGGCCTAGTTGCTCCGCGGCACGTGGGATCTTCCCAGACCAGGGCTCGAACCTGTGTCCCCTGCACTGGCAGGTGGATTCTTAACCACTTCACCATCAGGGAAGTCCCTGGCTTCAAGTCTTGTAACCTCTCTGAACCCTATACTCTTGGGGCATCTGACCTGTTTATTAAACCACTGCTATGTGCCAGGCTTGTTCTGGTTGCTGGGAGAAATGCCAGTGAACAAGAAAGGCCCGGGCAGGGCTTGCCTCTGGGGGCTCGAGGCACCTGGTGTGCCACAAAGGCATGCTAGGTGGGCAAGTAGAGCCCCACCAGCTCAGTGCCCCCAGCAGCTCAGAGCTCCCTTACCCGCTCGGCAACCCCAGAGTCACCAGGCAAATCCCGTCTCCCGTGTGCGCAGCCCAGCAGGCTCTGCCAGAGGCTTTGGCACAGTCAGGCCCTCTGGTTTGTCTCTCTCCGGTCGAGTGGAAGCCCACGAGGGCAGGGAGTTTCGTCGTGTGCTTTCTTTCCTACACTCAGGAAAGCGTGTCTAACACGTGTTAAATGAACGAATTACTGAGCTCTGAGGATTCTGCGATTCCAAACGTAACTAGCTGAGTGAGAAGCGGTGGTCGAACGGAAGGTATTTCCAGACAGAAAATTAGTTTAAAAGTTTGAAATGGTAACCACCTGCATCCGTTCCATATCCACCCGATATTCACACACACACACACACACACACACACACACAATCACATACTTGTGTACTTGAAGGAGACCACCTCTACTGTGGGGTATGGCGAAGACTGTAAGGATGTGGGGTTTGAAAGGATCTTGAGAGAGCATCTCATCCAACCCCCTCATTTTATCAAGGAGGAAACAGGCTCAGAGAAGGGCCTCGACTTGCTTGAGGCTGTCTGTAGCAGGGCTAGAGTCGCAAGGTCCTCGTCCGCCGTTGTGTGTTCTCCCTTCTGGACCTGAAGGGCCTTTTCGGCTACGCCAACTGCAAGCCTGGAGAGGCTGCTTGGCCTCCGATGGGAAAGCTCCCTTCCAGCCCCACAGCCTGGGGGAAGCAGGCCTGCCAATTCCAGCTCCTCTCCAGAGCTGCGGCTAGGTGAGGGGCTCAGGGAAGCCGAAGGGCCCCCTCGGGATCACAGCACGTCAAGGTGGGAAGGGACCTCAGTGAGTATCTCGTGCCACCAACCACACTGTACAGCCGCAGAGACAGGAGGGACTCGCCCAAAGTCACACAGCAAGTCAGCGTTGAAGCACAGACCAGAGACCCAGGACTCCCGAGTCCTGGCTCTAGGCTCTTTTCTCGTGTCTGAACCCTTCAGAAGGGTCAGGTGCTTCCCAACTTTTGGCAGGTGTGTGCGTGCAGTGGAAGAAAGACTCATCAAAAGTCCTGAAGCGTTGGGAATTCCCTGGTGGTGCAGTGGATTAGACTCCGTGCTCCCAACGCAGGGGGCCCGGGTTCGATCCCTGGTCAGGGAACTAGATCCCACATGCATGCCGCAACTAAGAGTTCACATGCCTCAACTAAGGAGCCCGCCCGCAGCAACTAAGACCTGGTGCAACCAAATAAATAAATATTAAAAAAAAGAGAGAAAGTCCTAAAGCGTTTACATCTCCCTCTCCCTTCCCCCGGGGCCTTGCTCCAACGACCTCGACGCCACAGGACCCTACTGGTCCCATAGGTGTCAGGGGCAGAGACACGGGGGTGCGATTAGTCACACCTTCCCCTCCCTGCCTTCCAGGGAGCTTTGGCATCTATCTTCTGTTCCAGCTGGGCTGCTCCGGCAATGGCTGTGGGGAAGAGATGGAGAAGCCATGAAGGCTCTGCTGATTTTCACTGGAATGAAAAGAGAGAGGACAAGATCCAGAGAGAAGGAGGAAAGTAAGGAAGAGAATAACGAATGCTAGGTTCCTTGGGGGGCAGGGGTTTGCACAGAATGTGGGGGGACAGCTATTGTTCATGGAAGGGTTGGACTGTGGGCAGAGGCTGGAAGTTTTGTTCCTTTCATCACAGCACCATGCTACGTGCTACGAGGGAACCAGAGGCAACTCGGCTACACTTGGGTCACACACCTATTCACTGAACGCATACTTACTGATCACCTGCTGAGGGCCAGGCCCTGCGGGAGGTAGAGGGATACAGTAACAAACAAAACAGACTAGGTCCCTGCCCTCATGGAGCTGACATAACTAGGGGCATTAAAGAAGTAGACACTATGAAATAATGTTGAGTTGGGAGAAGTGCTGTGGATAACCCAGAGCAAGGGCTTAGCTAGACAATGCAGGGTGGGGGGTGGCGGGTGGAGGGGGAAGAGGAGAAGGCCTATCTGAGGATGGGCAACTGAAGCTGAGCCCTAGGAAGAGAAGGCACCAGCCTATGAGAAGGGGAAAGAGTGTTCCAAGTAGTGGGGACAGCTTTACAGAGATCCCAAGGTGGAAAAGGATGTGGTTCGTTCAGGGAACTGATGGGGCCAGTTCTGATGCACAGGAAGGCCACAGACAGGTGGAGAGATGGGTGGGGCCCGCTCCTTCCTGCAGGTTTGGGGTAAGGGGTTTAGAATTTTTTTGGGGGGGGCGGCCAGGACTCACGGCTTGCTGGATCTTAGTTCCCCCACCAGGGATTGAACCCATGCCCTCAGCAGTGAAAGTGCGGTGTCCTAACCACTGACTGCCACGGAATCCCCAAGGGGTTTAGATTTGACGGCGAGTATAGTAGTTGGGAACCACTGCAGGGTCTACACCAGGGAGAGGCGTGACACAGTTTACATTTTAGGAAGGTCACATTGATGCTGCTTGGAGAGTGGACTGGAGGAGACAGGGAACCACCCAGGGAGCTCCCACAGTCATTCGGGTGAGAGATGATGGTGGCCTGAGCCAGGACGATGGCAGTGGACATGGGAGAAAAGGACGAAGTTGCCATCTGTTTGAGAGGCAGAGCAGTCAGGGCTCGCTGGAGGCTTGCAGTATGTAGGGTGCGGGAGAGCATGGGGTCAAGGATGACTCCAGGTTTACTGACCTAAAGCCTGGGTAGAGGGAGTACCATTTACACAGACCCTGCTAAAAGGCAAGAATAACCTCTCCCAGTGCTCCAGGGAAACTTGGTGAGGGAGTGGAGCTGAGGGCAAGGAGAGGAAGAAACAAAGTGGGGTCCAGGACTGCAGGCCAGGAGCAGGAGGGCAAGGGGCCCACAGACAAACATGGCCTCCTCACTGGGGACAGTACCAGAGGGGCAAGTCCAGATGGGCCCTAAAGGAACGCAGTGGTGCCCAGGGTCCTTCAAAGCACACTGGGTGCTGCAGGGAACTAGAGGTCAGGGAGCCCCTCCAGGACTTCCCTTCCAGTTCACGCAGCGGAGGACCGAGGCCCAGGGCTAGGGGAAGACCTGCCCGCCGATGAAGCCCCTCCTTCGGCACAGTCCCTTGGTCGTTTTTCAAAGAGCCACATACGCATGCGTCTAACCTCAGAAAACGTTTCCAGCCCTTCCCGTTAGTGACCCTCCTCATTTGGCAGCGCTCACCCCTCCTCTCACAGACCCACTTCCCTCCCAACGGGGGCAAAGCCCCATGCACCGCTGAGCCTTTACTCTCACCTTCCCCTGCCAGCCACACCCTTCTACCCCTTTCTGTCCGGAGAATCTTCTCTTCTTCGGGATCAACGCAGGATCCTCGAAGCCAGAGCGAACAGCCACTTCCCACCCCGGGATCCTGCCGCAACGTGCTTTAATTTCTTTTTAGTGCCAGTGGTTGCTGCTTCTGTGCGTGTCCCCGGCTCGGATTGGGTGCGACGGTCTGCCTTCGACCCCGTACCCACGACAGACGCCCAGAAAATCCGTTCTAAATTAGTGACCCAGGCGGGCTCGCCCGCACATCTCCGGATTCGCTTCCCCACACCCTTTGAGCGCCTTGCGTTCGGGCGCGCAGCCGCTCTGGGCCCCGCTGACAGGCCCGGCTCACCCGGGGCGCTGAAGGGCCGAGGGAGGCCCTGGACCCCGCCAAGAGACAAGCCAGGAAGGCGCCCGGCGCTCCCGGATCACGTGACCGCCACCAGCGGGACTCTGTCACGTGACGGCGCAGCCGGCGAGCGTTTTTCTCACGTGACGGAGGTGCAGGCGTGTGGCCCAATGAGGAGGCGGGGGCGGGGCTTCCGGGGGCGGTGCGCGGGAAGAGAACCCGGGGCACCCGCGGCGGCAGGGGAGACCCGGAGGGGGGCAGCGAGCTGGGGTCCAGTCCGGGGCCCGCCGCCTTTCACAACCCGGCCGCAGGGAGCAGCATGAAGTGTCTGGTTACGGGCAGCAACGTGAAGGGTGAGTTGGGGCCAGCCCGGGGCTGGGGGCACATGGGAGGGCCCAAAGCGCCAGCAAAGCAGTGTTTTTCTCCTCTCCTCCCCGCAGTGCTCGGCAAGGCCGTCCACTCCCTGTCCCGTATCGGGGACGAACTCTACTTGGAGCCCCTGGAAGACGGGGTGAGGAGCCACGGTATTGGGGGGGGGTGAGATTCCCACAGGGAGCCCTAACCTGGGCTCGAGTCTCGCCCCCATCAGATAGGATGCCGGTGGGCAGATTTGTCTGCTGAGTTACAGTTTCCTCCCCTGTTGCTGGGACGTCACCTTGAGCCCTGTCATCTTCCCAGACCAGTGTGTGAATTGAGAGCATTTGCCCTCCCTGAAGTGCCCGGGGGCGGGTGGGGTCGGCGCTGAAAGCTGTGTAGGGCCCTTGCTGCGGGAGCGGTGCTGAGGGGCACTCCGGGAAGGCTTCATGGAGAAGATACCCGCTGATTGGAAGGAGAGGGAGGGATTCAGCAGACGATGGTGGAAGTGGAGGACATTAGGGCAAGTGTGTGAGCAAAAGCCGGCCAGAGGGCTGGGCCTGACATTGCAGGTGACTGCATCTCTCTCCCTGCTTTTCCTGGCCCAGCTCTCCCTCCGGACCGTGAACTCCTCCCGCTCGGCCTATGCCTGCTTCCTCTTTGCCCCGCTCTTCTTCCAGCAGTACCAGGCGGCCACCCCTGGTCAGGACCCGCTGCGCTGTAAGATCTTGATGAAGGTGAGGCCCCTCCCTCAGCGGTGACAGTGCACTCCCCCAGGAACCCCCCCAGGAACCTCTACCAGTGCGTTTGCTCTGAGGCACACAGTAGGTGCCAGCTGGAGACAGAAACATACGCAGGAGCAATCCAATGCAAAATGCAGCGCAGGGGCATAGTACGGACATCCACAGGGTACGGTAATGGGAGATACGGAGAGGCTAATTGATTCTGCCAGGGACCTGCAGAGAGTGGTGACATTCAAGCTGGTCCTTGAAAGGTAAGCAGGTCTTTCAAGGCATTCCAGACAAGGGGAACAGTATGAACGAAGGCCTGGAAGGGTGTAAATTTCTGTGTGTGTGGGAGGTCCTTTCCTGGTGTGACAGTGCTGAGCCCGTGATGGGCCAGAGCCTAAGGGGATGTGAGAGCTGGCTGGTGGAGGCGCGGCACTGGGCTGATGTGTTTCCATCGCCTAGTCGTTCCTGTCAGTCTTCCGCTCGCTGGCGATGCTGGAGAAGACCGTGGAGAAATGCTGCATCTCCCTGAATGGCAGGAGCAGCCGCCTGGTAGTTCAGCTGTACTGCAAATACGGTGAGTGAGCAGCTGGCTGGCCAGGTCATCCTTGCGGCGTGGGGTGGAGGTTGGCGAGGCCCACTGAGACCCTGTCTGCCCATCCAGGGGTGAGGAAGACTCACAACCTGTCCTTCCAGGACTGCGAGTCCCTGCAGGCTGTCTTCGACCCAGCCGTGTGCCCCCATGTGCTCTGTGCCCCAGCAAGGTGAGCACGCTCCCTGGTTTCAAGCTGAGGCCTAGGTTTCTCTCTTCCTTCTTTGGGCCTCAACGGTCAGTTTAAGAAGGCACCTCTTCCCTTTTCCCTACAGGGTTTCTGTAGACCTCAAGGAGTTTATCCAACCCGGTTTGCTTTCAGGTCCTTGCCTGGCTCCTCTAAGGGCAGAGGCTGGAGTGAGGAGGGGCTGGGTGCTCCCTTGTTCCATGTTCCTCATTGTCTTCTGGAGTCTGTATTCTCTACCTCAAAGGTCTGACTTGGTTTTCTGACCACTCAGACCCATCCTGACTCCTCTGTCAGAGAACGGGTCTCTGGCCTGCCCTCAAGTCTTCTCTGGCCTGAACACCTTTGAAGGTCCCTTAATTTTTGTGGCTCAGGGACTCATGACCCTTCTCTGGCCTCGTCATCCTTCTGGGATGATCCCCATTCAAGGGCAGCCTCTTTTCCTACCTGGCTGGGCTCTAGCCTCGAGGGGTCCCAGCAGGAGGCCAAGGAAGGAGGCTAGGAGGGGAAGTCCTGGTCCAGGAGGGCTGCCTGAATAAGCAGCTGTAGAGATGGAGCTGTTCTGGGGAATCAGAGGAGCTGTGCAGGGCTCAGGAGACTCCAGCAGATGCAAAGGTCCCTGGTGAAGACAAGAGCAGAGGGGATTGGCTCCCCTCCCACTCGCCCACAGGCTGGGTGCCACTTGCATCCAGGTAACCCAAGGTCTTGTGTTTCTTTTCTTTTGGTAGCCGAAGGCCATGGTAACCTCAAGGTCCATTTGGGTCCTGACTTTCTGTTTTTCTGAGTTCTGTTGAAACAGCACTGCCCAGGATCCCTTTGGGTAGAGAAAGAGGGAATCAATCTGTGGTCTGTATTTTGAGAATTTTTCTTTCTCTTTCTTTTTTATTTTTATTTATTTATTATTTATTTATTTTCGGTACACGGGCCTCTCACTGCTGCGGCCTCTCCCGTCACGGAGCACAGGCTCCGGATGTGCAGGCTGAGCGGCCACGGCTCACGGGCCCAGCTGCTCTGCGGCATGTGGGATCCTCCCGGACCGTGGCACAAACCTGCGTCCCCCGCATCGGCAGGCGGACTCTCAACCACTGCGCCACCAGGGAAGCCCCTCTCTTTCTTTTTTAAAAAGAGCAGTTGTGTTGAGATGTATCCTGATGGGGCATTTTCCGTAAACCTACATCGTTGGAAAAACAGTCAGACTTTTTGTATCTTAGGTATTGGCCTATCCCAACAACCTGTACTGTTCTAGGGTGTGATGGCTTAGGAGTGAATGTGATTTGAACCTAATACATTTTTAGAGGGTGTCAAATTCAGAACCAGGCAGATCCACCTCCTGACCCTAAACATGGTCCTAAAGTAAATTGCTTGAGGAAATTGGATCCCAGAGATTACAGGTAGGGAATTCTGAAGTGTGTCCATATTCCATTGGAGATCAAAGAAGCCCAGCTAAGAGAATTGGGGGCTGACTCACATGACAGCTAATTTCTGAAAAGGCTATTTTATCTTGAAGATTATGAGTTTGGAGGAACTAAGGTGATTGACAGTGGAAAGAATCAGAACGTGAAATTCCTTAAAAATTTATTGACTTAAATAATTTTGTCTCTGTTAGACATAATACAAAAAAAAAATTTAAAAAAAGTAGTTGTTTCTTGTTTTTAAATTTAATTTATTTATTTTTGGCTGTATTGGGTCTTCGCTGCTGTGCGCGGGCTTTCTCTAGTTGCAGCGAGCGGGGGCTACTCTTTGTTGCGGTGCGCGGGCTTCTCATTGTGGTGGCTTCTCTTGTTGCGGAGCACGGGCTGTAGGCGCACGGGCTTCAGTAGTTGTGGGTCGCGGGCTCTAGAGCGCAGGCTCAGTAGTTGTGGTGCATGGGTTTAGTTGCTTTGCGGCATGTGGGATCTTCCCAGACCAGGGCTCGAACCCATGTCCCCTGAGTTGGCAGGTGGATTCTTAACCACTGCGCCACTAGGGAAGCCCCTGTTTCTCTTTTTCTTATGGGCAATTTTAAATTCATATAAAAGTAGACGCCAGTTCCTGTCCCAAGTGTTTTGAGGCAAATTCCAGATGTTATTTCACCTGTAGCTGTTTATCGGCATGTGTCTTTTCTAGACAAGGATCTGAGGGCTCTCCCTGAAGGCCGCATTTATGCAGACCGTGTGGGGATGGTCTCCCGCCCCTGGGTGGCCAGGTACCGCCTGCCCGGTTTGGTTCAGCGCAAACAGCCCGTGCTTCCTGCTGTCCTCTGTGGGCTCTGCTCTTGTCCGCCCCGTCTCTTGCAAGTGGACTTCTCCTCCCACGACAGCCTGGGAGCCTTGGACGGGGCAGGGACCATGTCCCGCTCCTGTCCTCCCTGGGGGTATGCTAGGCCTGGCCTGGTTCCCTTTGGACGTTGGTGTGTGTCACCATCCCGCCTCAGATCCTGAGAGCGAAGCCACTGGGTGGGGCTGAGTCTTGGGGTGATGCTGTGTACTCCTCACAGGGTCCTGGGGGAGGCTGTTCTGCCCTTCCCCCCTGCGCTGGCTGAAGTGACGCTGGGGATTGGCCGTGGCCACAGGATCATCCTGCGTAGCTACCAGGAGGAGGCAGGTGAGGGAGCCAGACATGGCCTGGGGCAGGGGGCAGAGATGGGCTGGGATGGGGCAGGGCGCAGGTTTCCTCCTGTTGCTGTCTCCACAGACAGCACCGTCAAAGCCATGGTGACCGAGATGAGCATCGGGGGGGGAGGATTTCCAGCAGCTGCAGGCCCAGGAAGGGGTGGCCATCACTTTCTGCCTCAAGGAATTCCGGGTGAGGTTGCCCGCCACGCGCTCACCGCCCGGTCCACCACTCCTCCCTGCCTGGTGCGGGGCCTCACTGCTCTGCCTCTCCCTTCCCAGGGGCTCCTGAGCTTTGCCGAGTCAGCGAACTTGTCTCTCAGCATTTACTTCGATGGCCCTGGCAGGTAACTCCAAGCTTCAGGACAGGGTGGGGAGGGATCTGGGATGCCAGGAGCCAAAGGGCCTTGACCTTGCCTGGACCCGTCACCTGCCCAGGCCAGCCATCTTTGCCATCAAGGACTCTCTGCTAGACGGCCACTTTGTCCTGGCCACGCTCTCAGAGCCGGACCCGCACCCCCAGGACCTGCGTGCCCCGGAGCTCCAGCAGCCAGCGCCTCAGCTTCAGGCTCACAGGTGAGAGCGCTGCCCACCCAATCCTCCTCCCCACCTCTGCGCACCCTGGGGAGCCTGCTGCTTCCAGCATCAGCGCCTCCCCTCCCCCCACTTCCTGTTGGGCCCCAGCCCTGCAAGCTCAACCTTACCAGGCAGCTGTACTCAGAGACTCCCCCCACCCAGGGAAGTGTCCCCAGGGTCGGGCTGGCTTCCTTCTCTGGCTGAGGCCTCCCCTCCGAGCCTCCTCCCAGGCCAAGGAGGGAAAGGGCTGCCGGGAAGCGGGGGGCTGCCTGGGACTGGGGAAGCCGGTGGCTGAAAGGGCAGGTGGGTTGGGGAGGATGGGCCCAGTGTAGTTTAAGCAGAGGAAGTTTGGCCTGGCCCTCTGCCCAGCATGTCCCTGGGCCCCAGTGCGCTCCGGTTCCTGTCCCCTGGGAAGGTACGGGCTTGGGCCCCAGGTGGCCCAGCTTACAGAACTTGCTGCTCCCCTCCCCCAGCTGAGCTAAACCGGCCCCCAAGATGTCTCCCTCAGGCCTCTACCTCAACTCTGATGAAAGGATTCCAGGTCCACCCCCTCCAGGAAGCAGCCACTTAACCCCAGGCATCCTCTCCCCTCCCACCAAACCAGGAAGTAATAAAACCAAGAGGCCACCAACGGCACAGGGCTTTTGCAGCCGCCCGCTGAGCCCTCCAAGGCGGGGCCCTGCCTCTGTTCCCCCGCTTCTCTCCCTGCCCTTGCTAAGCCGTCTCTGCTTACAGCACGCCCCACCTGGACGACTTTGCCCTTGATGACATTGACTCGTACATGATCGCCATGGAAACCACCGTGGGCAGTGAGGGCTCACGGACACTGCCCTCCACCTCCCTTTCACCTGGCTTCCAGCCCCACTGTAGCCCTGGCTCCCACTCAGAGGAGGAAGATGACACCGAGCCCAGCACGGTGCCTGGGACTCCCCCACCCAAGAAGGTAGGGGCTGGCTGGAGACGAGGCAGGGATGGGAGGCGGAGGGAGCAGCCTCCAGAGCTCACTTGGCTTCCTCTGTTTTCTCGCCAGTTCCGCTCGCTGTTCTTTGGCTCCATCCTGGCCCCTGCACACTCTCCCCAGGGGCCCAGCCCCGTGCTGGCTGAAGACAGTGAGGGGGAAGGCTGAGCCGAGAGGTCCTTGGAGGACTGGACCAGAGGAAGCCCCAGCCTCCCCATCTCCCAGCGCCAACCAGGGGCGGGGCCAGCTCTCCTCCAGGGTGGGTGGTAGAGGTGGGCTGTGCTGGAGCTCAGCTGGCTGGTCCTGCCGCCTCCCCCAGGCCCTGCTCGGCTATCTGTGACTGGCCTGGGTCCTGTCGTCTCCCTTCGGCCCCCAGTCAATCATGTCTGTTCCCAGTCTTGGTGCCGAGCTGCCACCTGCTGGGAGGCCCCTCACCTCTTTATCCAACCATGCGGCAGGGTTGGGGGCCTGCGTTCTCTAAGCCCACCTCCCTAAGAAAAAAACCTCGGTGGGGCTGCTGGCCCCTGCTGATCCACCTTCTCTGCCAACCAGGACCTGTCCCTCCCTCAGATCCTGGGTACACCTCGGGGATCCCCTGTGCCCGGCACACACTGTTTTGCTTGCTTTTCCAAAACTCTCTGGCCCTGACTTGGAAATTCCAAAGGCCCCTGTGACCTGAGCGTGTGGCTGGTGTTTCCCTCGCTCGGGCCCCATGCCCAGCAAGCCTCCCAAGTGGCCCTAGGCAGAAGAGGTCGCCAGGCGCGGCATTTCGGACAAGGGAGACAGACGCCATGGCGAGAATCCAGCTTTGACCTTTATTCGAGAGACCAGATGGGTCGCCCCAGGATCCGGCTGCCAGCCCTGAGGCCAAGCAAGGCTGGGGACCCACAATCTGGCCCTGCTCTGCCCTGAGCTGCAGCCTCAGCCCCAGGATCCTGCCTGCAGCCACTGCAGGTGCAGGTGGAAGGAGCCCTGGGGGTTGGACGCTGCTATTGATTCATAAAAAAAAGAAAAATACACCAAGGCTCCGTGTTCCCTGTGATGGGCGGCCCTAGGGGGCCAGCACGAACCCTCACAGCCACGTGATTTCTGTACAATCCACCGTCTGGGGCAGAGGGCGGGCACACGGGGGCTATTTCTTGGCTTTGGCGGAGTTGCGGGGCGGGGTGATGGGCCGGCCTCCAGGGTTCAGGCCGCTGAACTGCCCATATTTCCCCTTGTTCTTGTCGGCGGGCTTGAGGATCTAAAAGAGGCAAGCTGGTCAGGCTCATGGGGCTGAGCCATGGGCCCCTCCCGCCCCTTCCATCCCCATCTCCACCCCCACCTGGAAGGAGCACATGAGCGTCTCGTCCACGCTCATCATGGCGCCTGCGTTGTCAAACTCGCCACAGTAGTTAGGAGCTGAGAAGAGTGTCACCAGCTGCCGCTTGGCAAAGAACTCATAGCCATCTTCTACCACCTGGACGAGGGTGGGGACAGTTAGTTCAGCAGGTGCTGCTGCCCGGCCCCCGCTGCCACCCAGACCAGAGCTGCCAGCCCACCTGGTGTGCCCGGCAGATGAGATCCAGGTCGTGCTTGTGCAGGAACTTGGCCACGACCTCAGCTCCAAAGGTAAAGGAGACGCCACGGTCATTCTCGCCCCAGCCCTGCACGTCCTTGTCAGGGTCAGACCACAGCAGGTCACACAGCAGGCCCTGGTCTGGCACGTCTGTAGGCCGCATGATACGCCGGATCTGCTCCATGGACTGTAGGTCCGGGGACAGGCCTGGGGGGCACCGGCGGCAGGTCACTTCCTCAAGCCTCAAAACAAGGGCCCTCCCTTCTCCAGGAAGCCTTTGCCAATCAGCCTCTGTTCCCTCAACCCGCCGCCCTCTCCTGGATTCCTGGGAGCCTAGACAGGCAGAGCTCATCGCCTTCTGCCTCTTCAAGTCCCTGTCCCTTCCAGGAGCACAGTGCTCCCTGGAAAAAGACAAGCAAACTCCACGCAAGAAACCGAGGCCACGACATGACAGTGAGTGCAGCCTAATGCTGGGGTGCGGGGGGACTTTGTGGAAGAAGTGATATCCAAACCAGGGCTCCAGGGAGAGCTGTTCCAGGTGGCTGAGAATGTGTCCTTCAGCTAACACTTCTGTCCCAAATCCCCCAGGGATGTGGCCAGGCTCGTCCTGCCCAAGCATTCCCTCGCCATGCGGCCCAGAGCCGCCCTCACCCCCGTGACAGCAGAAGATCTTTTCATCCACAATGGCAGCAATAGGCAGGCAGTTGAAGCAATCGGTGAAGGTTTTCCATAGTTTGATGTTGTAGCGTCTCTTGCCTGCCCAGAGGAAGGAGAAGGCTCACGAGAAGGCCTGTCTGCCCCACCCTCAGTGTGGGTCTCTGGGCCTTCCAGGGCACATTGTGTGTTGTTCAGACACAGCTGGGAGAAGAGAATGGAAGGCAAGAAGGGACCCCCCCCCCCGGGCCAATCCCCACCCCACTGCCTCCCAGGACGAATTCTAAGGCAGCTGAGTCCACAGGAACCCCCAAGTTCCAGTTCTGGAACAACCTCAGGGTTGGCACTCACCCCCCTGCACATGAGCAGAGCCAGGCCAAGACCGGGTCTGGTCTCTCTCAGCTTCTGGCCAAGAGAGTCCAGTCCAGACAGGCATCCTAAGTGCTTAAGTAACGGATGCAGTGGAGGGGGGTGTCGGCAGGCAAGGCCCTGCATTAGAATGCTGGCAGCCCTTCAGTCGGCAACCATTCACCACGTCCCTCCTGAGTGCCAGGACCCGTGCCAGGAGGGCAGGGCGGAGAGACGTGAACTGGCCCTGCCTTCACAGAGCTCAGTCTAGCAGGTGTTTGTCAAACACTGCTACCCCAGCCACCAGGTCAACACGAGGGTCGCACTGAATGGCGACCTTCAGCCCCAGAGGCTCCGCCCACTCACACTCATCGTAGAAGCCGTAGATGCGGTTGATGCTGGCGCACTCGTGGTTCCCACGGAGCAGAAAGAAGTTCTCGGGGTACTTGATCTTATAGGCCAGCAGCAAGCAGATGGTCTCCAAAGACTGCTTGCCCCTGTCCACGTAGTCCCCCAGAAACAGGTAGTTGCTCTCTGGAGGGAAGCCGCCGTACTCGAACAGCCGCAGAAGGTCGTAGTACTGGCCATGAATGTCGCCTGTGACCCAGAGAACCAGGTCAGCACTAGATGCAGTCTGAACTTGAACCCAGGGCCAGGGTTGGACTCAAGGGTGGAGAGATCCAGGGACTTTGGCTGGTGGTGGTGGGTACCCACTTTCAGGAAGCAAAGGGGCCTGGGCAGGGGGCTCACCACAGATCTTGAGGGGTGCCTCCAGCTCCAGAAGAATGGGCTGGCTCAGGAAAATCTCCCGGGATTTGAGGCACAGACCACGGATCTCGTTCTCTGTCAGCTGTACATTCTTTCCAGGCCGCGAGCCCTGCACTGGGAGTGGAATGAGGCGTCAGGACCCTCAGGCGAGAAGAGGGTGGGTGACATGGGTGGCCCCGTTGGCACTTCTGGGGGGCGCCTGGGCCTCCCGGGCCCCGCCTCGCCCAGGGGCAGCTGTTGCTGCTCAGCCTCCTGGGACCCCCGCCTCAAGCCTCAAGGGACGAGACCCCCAACTACCCTCAAGACACTCGAAAGGGGACTGCTGTGCGCGGAGGCCTGCCAAAACCTCAGAACACAGGACCCCTTGCTTGGGGGGGCTAGGCTTCTCGGATTTCTTTCTAACCCCAAGAGCCCTGGCTAACCCGTGCGCCCCCGCCCTGCTCTGGCAAGGGGAGCAACCCCAGACCTCCCAGGGGCGCCGCAATTGGGAAGGGGGGCACCTGCGGCCACGGGACCTCGCGGCCCGTCCCCGCCCAGTCTAAGCTGGTCCTGGGAGGGGCAAGTCCACCCGCGCGCCACTTCCGGGCCGGGCAGGGGACCAGGGCGCGGCCGGCGCCCACCTCCCCTGCCCCGGCCAACCTTCCAGCAGGCGCCCGATGATAGAGTCCAGGTTGAGCTTCTCGCTGTCGGACATGGCGGCGCCGCCGCTCTGGCCCCAGCAGCTCCGGGCCCGCTCCTGCCTCCCGCCCTCCCGCTGCCTCCTTCCGGCCTGGCGCTCCTTCCGCCCGCCCCGGCTCGCCGCCCCGCCTCCTAGGCCTCCTGCCCCGCCCCGCCCCGCCCCGCCCCGCCCCGCCCCGCCCGCTGCCCCTGCGCTCTAGCGCCTCCGCCGGACGCAGGACGCAGGGGTCGCGGCGGCCCGGGAGGCGGGGCCTCGGTCAGGGGACCGGACTTGGACTGACTCGTGTGTCTGGGGCGGAGCCTGCCCTGTGGGCGGGGCTTCATGGGGCGAGGTCAAGCCTAGCTCCGCACTTGAGTTACCCTCGGCTGTTCGGAGGAGGTGCGGTCGGAAGTACTGTGGAAGTTGTTTTTCTCTTTCAAGGGCTAAGCAGTCCTTCCCACTTCTGTCCTGGTCGGGAAGGTTGTGTGACCTCATTGGTAACTCATTGGGTCTCCCCAAACAGTGCAGATTAAGCCCTTGAAGTGCAGGAAAGGAAACTGAGGCTCAGAGATAGTAAGAGTTAGCCTCGAATTCACGGAGGACCTCTACCTCCTGAGTCTGGGGCCCTCGGGCGACTGGCTAGGTAGATCCAGACACCTGTTGCTGAACTCCGAGCTCATTTTGGTCCACACTGCCTGTGGTGCATGCTAAATTATTACTTTTTGTAATGTCTCATCCTTGCCTTTTGAGTAGCATAGTAATGCTACATTGTGTGCCTGTTGAAAGTATTACTTTGTAAAGAGCAAACACTAAATACACCATGATACTCGTTGGACCCTGAATCGAGTGTTTTACATGCCAGTGACCTCAAATCTGGAGGCAGCCTGCCCTCTCTACCTCTGGCAGGCCCTGGCCGCATCACACCCAGCACAGGAACCCAAGCCTGCACCCACCCAGCCCACCGGGATGGTGGGAGGAGCCCATGGCCCAGGGCCAGTGGGGCAGGCCGGAAGAGCCCGGGACAGGAAGGGGTAACTACCCCCCCCACACGCACTTAGGAGGGGCCCCCCGGCTGGTTGACGAAGCTGTGGCTGAGGAGGAAGTGAGAGGAGGAGGTGAGGTGCAGCAAGGAGGTAAGCTGGGCTGCAGGGGACAGGGGCCTGGCCTTTCTGCCACTTCTGGGCCCATGCTCCACCCCCACCCCACAAGAGAAGAGGGGACAGAAGGGGCTTGGAGAGATACCCTGAAATCTGCTCCCTCTGACCACGCAGTCAGGTCCTGGGGCTGGGGCCTGGCTGGATAGGAGCCCAGGCCCCAGGCTGGCTAGGAGCCGCCTCTCATGTTGGCTTTCCCCACATGTTGCAGCCTATGGCATCAGGCGTCTGCAGCACCATGGCCCAGGCCCTGGGGGAGGACCTGGTGCAGCCTGGTGAGCTGCAGGATGATTCCAGCTCTTTGGGGTCTGACTCAGAGCTGAGTGGGCCCGGCCCATATCGCCAGGCTGACCGCTATGGCTTCATTGGGGGCAGCTCAGCAGAGCCAGGGTAAGTAGGGAAGGGATGGAGTAGGGCGGTGGGGTGCTGGGAATAAGGGTGGGAGCTGAGGGCTGAATTCTAGAGTGAGGTCCAACCTCGAGGGTCCTGGGCGGGTCTGGGGACTCAGCCACTATCATCCCTTCTCGGGTTCCAGATGGAATCCTAAGGTTAGCAGGGCTGTGGCGGGTGGCTCCTGTATGTCTCTTTTACTCCCAGTTTCTGAGGGTTTCCACCCACCTCTGGGGCCAAACATTCTTCTCCTTTTAATCTGGCCCGGGAATCCCAGATCCAGATCACAGAACCCACACTTCTTCCCCCACCAATCTTCTGCATTCCTCATGTACAGACAGGAAGACAAGTCCAGAAACAGTTAGGAAGATCACACAGCAGATCAGAGACAGAATCAGACCCAAACTCACAACTCCTGGCTTCTAGTCTAGGACTCTGTCTACCCAACTTCCCTGATGACTTGTCTGTGTCCCTATCCT